ACTGAAAAATGTGAGAAAACACACTGTCTTATACACAGAATTTTGTTTTTGTACAGACACATTCATTATTCTTTTTATCTGTTCACAGCATTCTCATTAACCACACCACTGCAACTTTCACGTGTTTCACTAATCTGTTAGCTGTCCATATTCACTTCTATATATCAGAATTTGAATTATATAGTACTTAAGAACTCTTCTCCTCTCCTCAACTGACAAAGAAAGACTATGCATTAAATTCTTGTCAACAGTGTTACAAAGCACACAATGCAATAAGCAGAAGTTGACTTTTAATATTAAAAGTAGTTGCAGTCTACATAATAACTATTCATTACTAGAAGACAGCAATAAACAGATGTATAACTTTCAAACAGGCAATACAAGATATTCTGAGCTTCATCTTAAAATATTTAACCAGATTTCTTTATTGTACTCAAACCAAATGGGAAACATTAAGAAACACACCATTTGTTACTTGGCCCACTTAGACAATAGTTCATTTAACACAGTATGCAGATTGTTAGTTCCTTTCCTCTCAGGGCAGATGTTTTCCGACTTCAAAGGATTTCCCAATTAGTTGACTCCTATGACATGCTTGTTGGGAAGACAGTGAGTCTATTTTTGTTTTCCCCACAATGAGGCTCTGGAACCCACATGAGATTCAGGAATCTTCTTCGTCTCCGTGTTTACCAACTGTACACATAGGCGGAAAGTTCTGGTTCTTCATCCACTTCTGAACTGCAGTCCAACTTCAGAACCTGAGTGTTGCATGTGCATCAGTTTTACAGATCTGATTCCCATGAATGCAGACTGTTGGAACCAACAGTCTGCATTCATGGGAATCAGATGCAATCCGACTTAAAAGAAAGCTCCCCAATCAGTCCACTCTTACGACATGCTTTTGGGTAGGCAGTGGGTCAATTCTTGTTTTCCCCACAATGGGGCCCCGGAACCCACACAGGGAATTTAGGAATCAACACCACAGAAAGCACACTGGTCATTCCTACTGATGCTTCACTTCCGCAGCAAATGTTGTAAGGTTCAGTTAGTATACTGGTTGGGCAAAAATCATTTTCTTCATCTCTCAAGTTGTTTCTTGTCGGATCCATGTTCAATTCCAAATTTTTGGAACTTCCCACATGTTGTCTCATGTAATATATATATATATATATATATATATATATTTATTTGTTAATGTGCATTTCAAACGGATACCATTTGTACATGATAGCTAAATATTTGAGCAATAACCCATTCCACCGCCAAGATTTTCTACTGATTTACTGCTTTTGCTAACTGTTTCATTAAATGTAAATATTTTGTTCAATGTGAGATATTACTACACAAGTCAAAACAATCCCATATCAGGCAGGATTGTAGGGATGCGAAGTGTTAAGTACTAGGCTAACGAATGACAAGTTATCTCTCTAACTGCCTATCCTTCTCAGAGAAATTTGAATGGTAAAGAACACAATAGGAACCACCACAGTATTATTGTAATTATCCATCACTGAGCTGGGCATTATTTAAAAAAAACAAATATGACAATTATACGCTGATAAAAAATGCTAGAATCTAGGACAGTTAATAGATATTACTTAATTCTTCCAGCTTCAGGTAGATATTACATCAACATTTTTTGTTTGCACATTAGAGCAACCATTTTTGGTGATTAGTCTTGTTAGTTAGTCTTTCCTCTTGTGTCGAGTGCGGCACATAGGGCAGAGGTCATGACTCTCCATGCATGGCGGTTCGTTGCAATCCGTTGTAGGTCTTGGATGTTTGAGTGGCCCATGAGCGAGCCTTCCCTGATGATAGTTCTACGTAGGGTTTCCCTTGGTCTTCCACGAGATCTTTTCCCCTGTGGTGACCAAATGAGGGCTTGGTAAGGAAGTCTTGATTTATCCATTCTAAGGGCGTGGCCGACATAGTTCCAGCGGCGTTTTCAAATAAAGTTAGACACATACTCTTGCCTGAATTCTTGCCTTATTTGTGTATTTGTTCGGAAATCTGACCATTTGAAATTTAGTATTCTTCTAAGGCATTTATTTTCAAAACTGTCTAATTTTGTGTCTAGAGTTTTCTTGTGGAACTGAAAAATACAGCTTTCATATGGAATGAGTTTTACTAACAGACAAATTAGATATAAATAATGAGTTAACATAGGATGAAAGAAGACTGACAAGAAGGGGGCAGAAAAGTATAGAAACAAGTATAAATAAAAAGGTAGCCAATGGATGTACTGTTAGTTTCCTGCTTTCAAAAGAATGGCTAACTTATTTTAAAGTAGCAGCAAATTTAACTTACTAAAGTAACCTGACTTATTCATTGCTGCCCCGTTCCAAGAAATATATAGTTTCTATAATTTTTTTCAATACTTAATAATAAGCCACAACAGTTTGAAACACTGCTCAAATACTTCTTATTTCTGAGCAGCCAGTTGAAACTGCTATTTATTTTTTTCTGCATACCTATATATAAATCAATGTTTGTGTGTTGTTTATTACCTATAGACTCGGAAACTACTAAACCGATTTAGCTGAAATTTTCAGGATATGTTTGTTTTGATACCGGGATTCTACCTGTCATGGTTTGAAATAGGTGGCGACATTTGTTAGGAAAATATTTTAATTTTAGTGACATTTAATTAAAGCCATGTTCGTAAGTGCGCATGCGCAGTAGTCGGAACGCACGAATTTCACTATTTGCCGGCATGATATAGCAAATCATGGCCTACTCTATTTTGAGAAGGCGGTGAGCAAACCAGACTATCTATATCTACGCAGGCAATGATTGCGACATTAACCATATGAGACACTTGTGATTTCTATTTTCTTTCTTTTCAAATAACCTTTGATGAGTTAGAGAGTAGTCGGTGGATTTGAGGAGGGTGGGGATGGGCGGCATTGAAAACTAACTCTATGTCTGCACAGACAATGACTGCGACATTAACCGTGTTAGACACGTGCGATTTCTATTGTTGTGCCGTTTCATTAATACGTGAAGTTATTTCTGGGATATCTGACTATAAGAAAACAACTGCCTGCCGTTTTAAGTTGTGTTAGAATCGGGACACACATTTCAAATAGTTTTTTTTTCTTCTTTTCGTTGCACTTTCAGAGGAGCAGTTGGTTGGCCGAATGGTTAGAACGCTGGTTTCCTGTACGGGAGACCTGGGCTCCCAGTATGGCACTAAAAAAATTTTTTTTTTTTTAACCTGGGGGCAAAATAAAAGCCTCACCTGCACAGTCGTGGCAACAGCAATAGGCGGCCCTAAATACTAAAAAAAAAAAAATAGTGCAGGTATGTGGCTAAACCAGTTGATAATTACATTTGACCATTTTGTATACTTATGATTTCATTTTAAACTTTACGATTGCATGGTTACACTGAATTGTCATAGATTTCCATTTTGATTTAATTATTTCATCTGACATTGCGTTTGAATTAAGCTGTGTTGTTTACCATAGCGTTCATTTCGTAATTATTGTATACTTTTCCTGTTTTTGTTGCTTTTCACTTGGTTGTTTTTTTCCCCAACTACTTTGATGAGGAAAAGAGTATTCAGTGAATTGGGGGTGGGGGGGGGGGGGGGGGTACATTAACTGTTAACTGAGAGAGCTTTAAGACACAGTAACTGTCTTACCAATTTAGAGTAGCAGCGGTAGTAGTAGTTGTGGTTGGGCCGTTTCACCATAGTGCTGTTATGCGGGAGACTGCCAGTAAGGTGGCATTTTTTTGTCGGGCACTAGCCATGCGGCGCCAAATCCTCTGGCTCACAGCTCCCTGTCTATCCCGATGGTAAAACAGATAGTAGTGACATTATTTTAGTTACTGTGGTGGTGGTGGTAGTAGTTGTACTGGTACTTGAAGGATGGTGTGGTAAATATTACACTGGCTGCATTTACTACTCATTACAATTCCTGCTCCCCATTTTAGTCCAGATGGACAGGGATGTCAAGGTCAGTTACAAAAAATATCGTTAGGTGATGACTTTCAAATCCTTTGAAGAGGGAGAGAGCAGTAGTCGGTGGATGGGGAGAGGAGGGGGTGATGACAGAAATTATTAACTTAGAGAGCTTAACACATGATTTTAAAGTTTTCATTTCTTAATTTTTTATTTTACCAACGCTACCTTCGCTATTCTAATTTTTTTAACGACTTACTTGGTTATTTACAAGTACAGTAGTAAGCTTTACTTCCGTCTCTAAAAAAATACAAACAGCTTTAGCAAGTGATAACCAAATAACCATTTTTTTACAGTCCTAATAATACCATTTAAACGACCACTAATATAAAGAAACATTAGTATGTTGCGTGTTCTAAAAGTCTGCAAACCAGACTATCTCTGTGCAGATAATGATTGCGACATTAACTATATTGGACATGTGCGATTTCTATTTTCTTTCTTTTCCAAGAACCTTTGATGAAGGAGAGAGTAGTAGGTGGCTTTTTTGTGTGAAGTGGGAGTTGGGGGCATGAAAGAATATCTCTATATTTGCGCAGACAATGATTGCGATATTAACTATATTAGACACGTGCAATTTCTTTTTTCTTTCTTTTCCATTTAGCCAAACTATGCCACAGCAACGCATGGCCGGGTACAACTAGTATATATATATATATATATAACTGACATTCATATGAGGTACCACTCTAAAGATTATTATTAATATTATAAATATGCATATGCAGTATATGTGCTGGTTTTATAGTTTTAATATATCCTGGTTTTATTAGTAATTGTGAAAAATTCACCTAAAAAACTAGTTAGTTAGACTGACTACACTACTAACTACTACTTACTTACTACTACACTACTGAGGTTAAGAATTAAGATATCATAATATACTCATAATACTGTGTTGTCGCGATGCATTAACTAACAATAGTAAATGCTTTTTATAAGATACTGCACAAATAAAGAGGCTACTGAGATGATAAAAATACAAATTAAAACTACCACAACAAACAAAAACTAAAACATCCAAACAACTAACCTCACAGTTGTACAGTTTCCTCAGCTCATCAAATATCCACATTTCAACTCCCAGTCTTTTCTTAATCAGAAACATTTGGTGTGCGCCGTACTTTGCTGTCAAATACTTTTTCTTATTCTCTTTATGTTGGTCCTTCAAGTTAAATTCAACATTTTTATGTGATTCTTGCGTTCGTGGTTTCGGCGGAGGGCTGTAGCTTGTATCCATCTGATTTGGTTTGGTATAAGCCGTTTCACCTTTCGTGTCGTGCGTTGTTGTTGTGTACGGCGTCGCCATAACCTCGTATAACCCGACCGTTTTCCGGAACGGATTCCGGCTCATTGTTTTTACTTCACCCAACCTGCAACACATATTACATATTTATTTGTTTATAAAACTTCGTGGAACATGAGCAAATTATTAATGTTAGATAAATATGTATTCAATGTATAATAAAAGCAAATCAGGTGATAGTTTACACCCTTGTCGCAATAAAATATTAGTAGACATAAATATCCATTATTGGATAAACATTCTGTGTGTTTTTCGTTGGCACAGGAGCGGAGCAAAGATGGGTTGACCCGTTTGCTATGAAGCTGAAACTAAGACTACCAGATTTGTATGCAGACTCTGAGGCAGATGCACTCCGACTTCAAAGGAAGCTCCCAGTTAGTCGACTCTTACGACATGCTTTTGAGTAGGCAGTGGGTATATTCTTTTCCCCCTATAATAGGGCCCCGGAACCCACACGGGGAAACGCGGACGGCTTGAAATGGATATGGTTGTTTACATTTTTGCTACACGGGGAGAGAATCAAACTACTAGACGTTAAATAAACACTGATGAAAAATATTAAAGAATAATTAAGAACATGCATTGACAGCAAACAACAGCTATAATAATTAATAACGATTTGGGAACTTTTCAGAGCATACAGAGGGGCATACGGCAAGGATGTATACTATCACCTGATTTATTTTCATGATACAATGAACACATAATGAGATATATCATGGATATGCTAGGAATTGTGGCTTGTGGTCATAACATAAATAACCTAGGTTATCCTGATGACACTGTCTTGATCGTGCGACAAATCAGGGGAGAAAAGGAATTGGTGGTGCTAGAAAGTGATATAAAAGGGCCTCATCTTAAATAACGGGAAGCAGGAATTACTGGTAATATCAAAGAAAAGAATGGTACCTGAATGTATAATAAAAGTCAGAGGATGTCATTTTAGGACAAATACAACATGTAAGTAGTTACACGAAGGTATATGTATCACAGGGGTAAAGAACATAATATGACAGGCTAAAACGGATTTTTATAAAAGGGAGAATACAGTATACAAGCAATCCACGTGACTGCAAATTATCTTGCAGACACTGCAGTTGTTGTAGATGGTCAGGTTCAATTCCCGGCACGGTAACTATAGCTTTCGATTTTTATGTTGTCTAGTGTGTTCTTCTATATTTCTACTTCTGTCTATGAGTGCCGATCAATACACTTTCTGTTACTTGATTAATTCATTGTAGATGGACAGAAGCGATGTTATCAATGCCATGCACGGCACCTAACCGTGACGACGAGCCCGACAAAGGGCATAACTCTGTATCCCTGTTTAGACTGATGGTCACTGTGATGCAGCCTGGAGCTGCAAAAAATGAACATTTTACTAAGAAGACAAGACGTTTCATTAATCAACGCAGAACATGCGTCATAAGTCGTTTTACACTTGTGGAGCTTTAAGAAAGGGGGGTCGAAGCACCTAGGGATCTGTCCGGAGTGTTTTGATGATAATCCTTACTAATAACTAATCAAAGAGCTTAATGGATATCCATTGCAGCCAAATTTCATTGTGGAGATGGCATCTGACTGATTGACTGATCAGTACTGAAAGAGTTAATGTTGCAAATCTAAAAAATGATAGAAACACCAGCAGCAACAATAGTATAAGCCAATCTAAATATACCCGTAGATAGATAATCTGATTTTCAAAGTAATTTAAAAAGTACACATATAATTTATTAAACTTACCACGGTTTTATTCGGAATCTACGCAGGTATAGGCCGTAGGTTAGTTGTATTCACTTGTTACAGGTCGCGGCGAACTAACCTAAGATGTTTTTCGTTGCACATGCAGGATACGTAGTGAGAGGCGACTAAGGGAATGATAAGCCTTGGGGATTGCGTAAAAACACGAGCAGCAAAAGACAGCCAGCCTGCAGACATAACTAGAGTCTCCTTGTACTGAAACCCCTAGCGCCGAAGAAATAAATGAATAGAACAAAAGAAAAAAAAACACAGAGGAAAACAATTAGAAATAGTTGAATATGATGGAGAGAACATGGAGATAGTCGCAGGCAATTGTTGACGATATGGTGACTCGTGCATTATTTTTGAAGGCCAATATCCCATCGGGGGATAACAGGTGTTGTAATCACGGAAGCAGCAGCAGACGAAGAAAAAGGATAAAGATGAGAGGGATGCGGAGAAGGAGAAGCAACAGCAGCTTGCGGAAAAGGAGGAGAAGAAGAAGAAAAAGAAGAAATAGAAAAAAGAAGGAGGAGGATAAGTAGTAGTAGTAGTAGTAGTAGTAGTAGTAGTAGTAGTAGTAGTAGTAGTAGTAGTAGTAGTAGTAGTAGTAGTAGTAGTAGTAGTAGTAGTAGTAGTAGTAGTAGTAGTAGTAGTAGCAGTGGTAGTAGTAGTAATACTAGTAGCAGTAGTTGCAGTAGTAGTAGTAGTAGTAGTAGTAGTAGTAGTAGTAGTAGTAGTAGTAGTAGTAGTAGTAGTAGTAGTAGTAGTAGTAGTAGTAGTAGTAGTAGCAGCAGTAGTAGCGGTAGTAGAACAGTAGCAGTAGCATAGTAGCAGTAGTGGTAGTAGTAGCAGTATCCGCAAGAGCAGTTTTTGTAGTAGCAGTAGCAACAGCAAGAGTAGTAGTAGCATCAGTAAGAGTAGTAGTAGTAATGGTAGCAGCAGTATGAATAGAAGTAGTGTTAGCAGTAGCAGTAGTAGCAGCAGGAGTAGTCGTAGTAGCAGTAGCATAGTAGTAGTAATAGCAGCAGTAGTAGTAGTAGCAGCAGCAGCAGTACTAGTAGCAGTATCAGCATGAGTAGTAGGAGCAGTAGCATCGTTACAGCAGCATGAGTAGTCGTAGTAGCAGTAGTAGCAGTAGCATAGTAGCAGTAGTAGTAGTAGTAGTAGTAGTAGTAGTAGTAGTAGTAGTAGTAGTAGTAGTAGTAGTAGTAGTAGTAGTAGTAGTAGTAGTAGTAGTAGTAGTAGTAGCATAATAGCAGTACTACTAGTAGTAGCAGCAGCAGCAGTTGTAGTAGGAAGCTGACTGCTGAGAGATCATTGAGGCGCTAGATTTAAATGCCGTAACTCTTAATTTCTTGTACGTGTCCTAAGGCGGTCACTGCATGTACTTTCCACAACAAAGACCGACAGTTCAATTCTCAATAAAGTCAGATTTTAGTTTCAGTTCTTGTGTATGTGTGTGTGCGTGTGTGTATGTGTTAGACAAAGAGATATAAGGGAGAGAGAAGAGAGGAAGATAGACATACACATACATGCACACACACGCACGCATGTACACACACACAGAGCGAGAGAGAGAGAGAGAGAGTGTGTGTGTGTTTGTGTGTGTGTGTGTGTGTGTGTGTGTGTGTGTGTGTGTGTGTTCATGCCTGTAAAAATTCTGACACGACAGTCGGTCAGGAATCCTTAGGGAGACTGTGGGTTTTAAAATATCAAGCTGGTTGCATTGTTAACCCTAAAGCACAGTGGTTAAACGCTTGCATGTCGGTCGGAAGCTTTTGGGTTTGCAATCTGTTACGAGGTGGATGTGTTTTTTTTTTTTTTTTTCTAAATTACCAAGGTAGACACTTTAAACTGAAATTGATCGGAAGGTGGCCACACAAGGTGATCCTCACCTACTCCCCTCCCCTTCGCAATTCCGCCCTACAAATGTTTGAGGCCATGGTGGGGGGAACCTCAATCTTAGCGTTACAGAATAATAATAATGACAACAGTAATGTGCTTAATGGCTAATAAATAAAATTTTTGAAATAATATAAAATGAATAAACTAGTACTTTTTAAGTGTATTATATATATATATATATATATATACATACACACACACACACACACACACACACACACACATATATATATATATATAATGTGTGTTTGTGTGTTTGTAAAAGAAACCGCGTACCTCTTACAAAATAGGCCTCGAAGGGTCATAGCCCTATGTTTCAGCACCCATAGTTGTAGTAGAAGTAGTAGAAGTAGCAGTAGCAGTAGTAGAAGTAGCAGTGGTAGCAGCAGCAGCTGCGGGTCATCGTAGACATGCATGATTACCACTGCATGGATTATAAGAAGTGTATCTTTATGTTGCTTACATCTTACCTTCAGTTTCCGAAAATGTGTTCAACTTATTCGAATGAGGCATTTGATGCTTATCTGTCTTTTACATATCATTTGGTATGTTTAAGGCGTATCCCCTATCATCCAGCGTTGATGATTTATTACCTAGTCAGTGGGGAAAAAATCGATAAACTTCATGTCATTCAATACTTTGTACAACGAAAAATGTCCGCCAGATATATTTACAAACGTGCCACGCTACAAAGTACCGCTACAATAGTATGTGTAACCTGTGCCTTCTATTGTTACATTTACAAACAGAAGGCGGGAGAACAATTTTAGTAGAGTTCACGACGATAGAACTGCGTTTTCCAACTGACACGTAGCTCCTTTTTATTTGCAGAAACATACTTCTGCATTACCAAATTGAATCATTCATTAACTTGTTTATAAGTTCAAATTATATAAAACACGTTCTTTCGGCGGTCTTCAAACTGTGAAAATTAACGCTATCGGCAGGTGAATTTGTTTTTATAGACTGCACTGTGCCTTGTATTTAAGTTTTCCTTTGTGTGCCTTTCCTTTCTGTCAGCGTAAATTTGCTCTTGATAAGTACTGTTTTGGATCTGTCCTCTGTTGCTGATGTTTCTTGGGTTTTTGCTGGTTGCTAGACACACTGTCCCTGATTGTACCTTGGCTGTCTCTCGGTACACCACACCGAATTCGACAAGTTTTCCACTGTTTTTTGCCTTCTTTTTGATTTTGGCTTAGTTTGTGTTTTTTTGACTTCCTTTTGATTTTGGCTTAGTTTTTTTTTTTTTTTTTGCCTTCTTTTTGATTTTGGCAAATTTATTTTTTTTGGCCTTCTTTTTTATTTTGGCCTTTTTTTTAATTTTGGCTTAGTTTTTTTTTTTTCGGTTGCCTTCTTTTTGATTTTGGCTTAGTTTGTTTTGGCCTTTTTTTTCTTCAATT